GGAGATCATTAAAGTGAAGTGTTCATTCGTGCTCTCTCTCTCTCTCTCTCCCTCTCTCTTCCTCTCTTTTACCTTTTCTCAGTCTTCTACATTCGCTCAGCATCGTCTCTCTCTTTCACCTCTCTACCTCGTCTCTCCCGCCATCCTACTCCTTCTCCATTCTCTGGCAACCTATCATTTCCAGTTTCGTCCTATCCTCCGATTTATATGCATTTTCTCTATCACTCTTTCTCTTGCTTCTGCTTGACAATTCTTCTAGTGGACTTGTCCCTAGGAATGCCCTATCGGAGACTTCTCTGGGGATGAACCACCTAACAACCAACTAAGGTTGTGTAGTGAAAGAATCGTCGTCGCGTCGCGCTTATTTTCGGCACCGCCAGCCGAAACATACGTGCTCCCGACACTAATACTTTTCAACGTTTTCCGATTAATTCATTCTCGCGCACAGCGAACTTCGCGGTCTGGGCCCATAACCTCGTTGGTTTGGCTGAATGAGAAACAGCAAACGTAAAAGGTGGAAAACTGAAAAGATCGAGGTTTTGAGGGAACGAACAACGTGTATTCACATCAGAGATAAAAAACAATGGGCTAAGACAGATGCACAAGTGCGAAAAGGGATAGAATACATGCTTGCCACTAGGGGCAGCACCTGATTGAGCACAATCATGTCGAGGCCCAACTTTACACTTACATCGACACTTCCAGATACTGAACATGATTTACTATTAGTTTTCAACGTGGCCTCTAAAATCATGAGCATTGTCTGCATTAAGTGTTTCGTATCGCTCATGAAAATCTGTCTTATTCTAGAGAGCGTTGCGTTGTAGAGCTCGCTGAGTGTATGTTTATATAAAGCTCTTGTATTGTTTTTGTCACAACTCGCCAATGTTGCCATCTGTTACCGTGTATTAACGTGCTATTAAGTGGTGCTGATTCAGAGCTGATCAGAAAATGACATTACTCTCAACATGCGATGAGCAAGCTCTAACAGCATCAGGCGCAGAACTGATTGCATAATCAAGGACTTTGTTATCATGATGCTTTTCTTTGGGTTGGTATGTTAAGTGCTTAAACTTCTTTGAAATCAAGATGTGCATGGTTTGATCCCGGCCCTAAGTTATTAAAGTGAACCCGGAATCTGTACTTGCTGAGTCATATTCGCTAACCCCATCACGTCGCAGCAAAGGGACATGGTTTGAATGCTATTCTCTTCAAGCAACATATTCAAGAAATTACCAAGATCGCCAATTCTTAGCTGCCTTTTCAGAAAGCAATTTTCCTTGTCAGCTTGTGTAGGTAGCTAATGGCTGTCTCTTTCAAAAATCATGGTTCTACGCTGATTTGATATTCAAAAAGGACTACGTGCAAAACGGGCTATTTGGGGCTCGGGGCGGATACGTTTGAGACTTGCCCTATTCATTCACCTAACAATGCCCCATCTTTTCCCAAAGTTTCAAGCCCCCCAAAAATTTTGGGGAGATGCGGCGGGGGGTCAAAGTTAAAAATCGGCAAAATTTTCGCGAATTTATTACTTGGAAACCAAGAAGTTTTGGAAAACGCGGTTTAAACGAGCGTATTCAGCGTGACGAGAGCTTTCAGAAAATGTGTAACATCATAGGGTTTCGTCAACTTCAGCTCGAGTTATCGCCTCTGAAGCGCCGAAACGCTCAAAAAAGACCCCTTATTTTTTCACGTTTGGGCCGCTTTAAAAAAAAGCCATTTTTTCATTTTGATAAAAAACTGATATGTTGTTCCTGACTCTCTGTAGCCCCTCTAGCTCTTTACCGCACGCTGGGGAAATGTTTTGGTTGCGAGCTATAAGAGCGGAAAGGAGCGAAGGTCGGGAAAATCGGCTGTTTTAAACTGCGCGCCGCGACGGATCAGGAGACATGTGGCATCAATGCGAGGTCGGCAAAGGAGTGTGATTCGCCGATCAGAGTGGGAGGGGACGTTTTCCTTCCGATCAACGCCGCGCGCGTAGTTTAAAATAGCCTATTTTCCCGACCTTCGCTCCATTCCGCTCGTATAGCTCGTGACCAAAACATTTCCCCAGCATGCAGTAAAGAGCTAGAGGGGATACAGAGAGTCAGGTACAACATATCAGTTTTTCATCAAAATAAAAAAATGGCTTTTTTTAAATCGACCCAAACGTGAAAAAATAAGGGGTCCTTTTTAAGCGTTTCGGCGCTTCGGAGGCGATAACTCGAGCTGAAGTTGACAAAACCCTATGATATTACACATTTTCTGAAAGCTCTCGTCACGCTGAATATGCTCGTTTAAACCACGTTTTTCAAAACTTCTTGGTTTCCGAGTAATTAATTCACGAAAATTTCGCCAATTTTTAACTTTGACCCCCTGCCGCATCTCCCCAAAATTTTTGGGGGGCTTGAAACTTTGGGAAAACATGGGGCATTGTTAGGTGAATGAGTAGGGCAAGTCTCAAACGTATCTGCTTCGAGCCCCAAATAGCCCGTTTTGCACGTAGTCCTTTGCGGAGACCATGGATTGATTGTCCACAGCTGTCAATTTGAACGCAACACATCAGCCTCTGAATTCTCTTATCCATATACGCTCTCATCCTTCAAATCTTCTACAATATCGCTTGGAAAGAGTTCAATTTCCTGTGAGTAGGTATTTATAACATCATGCTTTTCAACTTGCCTTCTTTAAGAGCACAGAGTTTTTCTTTCAAGCTCCTTGTCAACCATGACTTGAAACATGCATTTTCGTTTGAGTACCTGCTTTGCTATAATAAGTTTGGCGAAGGTGCTCATAAATTAAAAGTGATCTCTTTCTCTCTTCTCAGAAACATTTGAATTTCTCAATCAAATGATTTATTTTGACGTACAAAATTGATCTATGATACCTCAGGATCTGTGACTAGATTATTCAAGTAGGTAATTTTTTTCATTTACCTACTTCTACCCTGCCTTAAAAACATTTCTCATTAATTCGTTTCTTTTCTAGCTTTTATGGTAATTTTATTTTTATTTTTTGAGGGGCAAGGTGCACAATGTCAAAGGATGCGTGTCCGTATTTTTGTTAGTGTCCTTGTGCATGCTTGCAAATAGTTCATCGCTATTTTAGCAATACCAGGTACCCATGCTATCACTGGATTTTGCCTGATACATAAATTCTAATTTTCTCAAGGAGTTCATTTCTTTGGAGGCCTAAACAGTGGAAATTATTTTTACGTGTGTTCCTCTAAGACTCATTTCTCAGTTGTTGGGAATCTGAGATCCATTATTTATCCTTTCTTGGCTTCATTTGACTGAAAAAGTATGGCCACGTTTGATCCGATGTGTTAATTTTTGTGTTTATTTTGTAGAGAGGCACCTAGATAAGAGGAAAGAATGGAGGAATAATGAGTTACTCAGAAATTTTTCTCACTAAAAAACCGAAAATTCAGTGTTGGGTAGTTTAACTACCCACCCTATCAGACACTGCAGAGGTTATCAAATCTCTCTTAGATTGAAAACGAAATAAATGTATAAAAATCAGACTATTCTGCTCCTTTTATTTGTTTGTGATCATTTTACACGGAAAACTTCATGATATCACACCAAAAACACTTCCCCGTAAAAATGACCCGCCAAGCTAAAAATAAAAATATTCGTCGCCTCAAATGCAATGATATCACATGAAGTAGACGCCAAGCAAATTTCCTGAATATAAATTGTAAGTTTCTCGATCCTCCCTTCAACATTATTACCGGAAAAACGAAAATTACCGACAAAAAAAAAATAATTTAAAAAAACCGATACAAATTTATCTATTTTTTTTTGTAGTACAATTGTACAAAAAAAATGATAAATTTGTATCGGTTTTTTTAAATTATTTTTTTTTGTCTGTAATTTTCGTTTTTCCGGTAATAATGTTGATGGGAGGATCGAGAAACTTACAATTTATATTCAGGAAATTTGCTTGGCGTCTACTTCATGTGATATCATTGCATTTGAGGCGACGAATATTTATATTTTTAGCTTGGCGGGTCATTTTTACGGGGAAGTGTTTATGGTGTGATTATGATTGGTCTCAAAATTTCTTCGCGGTTCATAAAACGACAAGGGTGTGGGAACAGTTGATGTATACAACAGTCCATTCATTTTCTTAACGGAACTGGTGCATGTGAAAGGAATTTGCGATTTATGTTCTCTTCTAATGTAAAATTTCACAAAAAACACGATGCTGTCCCTAGTTTTTTCTGAAACGAACTCTAAAGCTAAAAAAAAGCCTTCAACTTTGAGGCTTTAGTGGAGGGAATCCCCCACGCTACACTGAGAGTCCCCTTTAAATTCAATCAAACTCTCTATGCAAAGATAGGGAGAAAATACATTAGCAAGGTTGCCTTGTTTCTATCCTTGGAGTCATCAAAGTAAGTGGCAACCCTGATATTTGATCTCTATCTTTGCATTGAGAGTTTGACTGGATATAAAGGTGGACTCTCAGGATAACGCGGGAGATCCCTTCTATTACCGCCTCAACTTTGAGAGCTTTTTTTGAGCTTTAGAGTTTGTTTCGGAGAAAACCAGTGGCACCATTGCATTTCTCAAAAAGTTTAGCATGAGAAAAATTACTTAAATCGCACATCCCTCACACATGCACCAGATCTACTCTTCTGGGTTCCAATTAATTTCATGTGTTTTGATAGCGAAGCAAAAAATCTTCTTGGCTCCCACGAACTTTAAGATGGCTCCTAAAAATAGGGTTGGCAGCAAGTGACTCCTAAAAAATAGGATTATCAGCCAAGCGGCTCCTAAAATGTTCAAGTGAAGTGAAAACACTGGTGTACTGTTACACAATGTGAGATGCTTTCCAGTTGTGCAGGGTTCAATCTACTCTGGTCCTTCTCCTCCCCCAAAAATGTAATTAATTTTTGAATGACTTATTTAGTGCTTATCTTCCATCATAATCTATATTCTTAATTGTTGATTTTTGTCAGGTTAGACTAGGCAGACTAATTTTTTTCTTGATGTGTTGATATTGCTTTATGTCCACAGGAGCTTGATTTGAAGAAAAAAGAAGACAAGAAAGGAGAAAGAGAGAGAAGAAGTGAGAAGGAACGACGAGTGAAAAGCAGCAGAGGGACCTCAAGCTCGGTAAGCACATGTTAATTAGATACGTTATTATTGTTCCTGAATGCTTCCAAATTAACTGAGTCATCTATTAGCGAAAGTTTAGAGGTTCAAAAAACTAATTTTTTAGGAAACAACAAAAACTGAAATTCTCAGAAAAATAATGACTGCAAACAGCTCATGATTTTAATGGATTGAGTAAAGTGATTGAAGAAATCAACCACCAACAAAACATAAAGCAGGAAAATTCCACGTTGATGGCTATGGGTCTAGAACATCATTGATAGTTTATTTTTCTAAATTGTTCGGTACTATATGATATGGCGTGCCACATTCTACAGATAGAGTTGTAAATATTACGTAAAAAAGTGGTAAATATTGCATTTTATTTGACAAGTGTCCACCATTATCTCACAGTAGTTGAGCATATGTGAGGTTGGAGCCTTGGAGGGATGGATATGATGCAGAAATGTCAAGGTGCTCGATACCCGAATAGTTGTAGTTCGACAGGGCACAATTGAGGTTAGGGGTCGTAGAGTGCCAGGGAGTGCTAAAAGCGACAGATACAGGGTGTTCGAAAAGTCCCCTCCCCCCCTCTAACTTTTGACCTAATTGAGGTAGAGATTTGAAACTTAATTGGAGGGTGTTCCTAGATCAAAGGGAGCTACTTTTTGACCCCCCCCAAATTTTGGGGGGCCCCCCTTGAGGGGTTACGGACCCTAACTTTTTTTTTTCAAATGGGAAGACCCCCTTTGTGATACCTCGTTCGAAAGAGCATAAAAAAAGAAAATGTCTCGCGCAAACCCGAAGTCATTATCTCAAACCGTTTCAAAATGGCGGCCGGTCAAAATTCAAAATGGCTGAAAATTGGCACCTCTGCTATTTGCACATTGATTTGCTTGAAACTCGGTATCAGGGGGTATTTTGGCACGAGAAAAACGAATTTGACGTTAGATTTTTAAAAAAACCCTAATTTTTCAAAATGGCCACCGGTTTAGGCTCAAAAGGGCGGAAAATTTGACAAACTCGATTTCTTGCCAATGGGTTCACCGGAAATTCGGTATCTGGGGGTATTTTGACCCGAGAAGAAAGAATTCGACGTTAGATTTTTAAACAAACCCTAATTTTTCAAAATGGCCGCCGATTCAAGTTCAAAACGGTCAAAAATTGGCAACCTCGACTTTTTGCCAATGGATTCGCCTGAAACTCAGCTTATCGTTTTCCTTCTACCCAGATACCCCCGAACACCGAGTTTCAGGCGAATCCATTGCCAAAAAGTCGAGGTTGCCAATTTTTGACCGTTTTGAACTTTAATCGGCGGCCACTTTGATAAAATAGGGTTTGTTTAAAAATCTAACGTCGAATTCGTTCTTCTCGGGTCAAAATACCCCCAGATACCGAATTTCAGGTGAATCCATTGGCAAAAAATCGAGTTTGTCAAGTTTTCGGCCACTTTGAGCCTAAACCGGCGGCCATTTTGAAAAATTGGGTTTTTTTTAGAAATGTAACGTTAAATTCGTTTTTCTCGTGCCAAAATACCTCCAGATACCGAGTTTCAAGCAAATCCATGCGCAAATAGCAGAGGTGCCAATTTTCGGCCATTTTGAACTTTGACCGGCCGTCATTTTGAAACGGTTTGAGATAATGACTTCGGATTTGCGCGAAAAATTTTCTTTTTTTATGCTCTTTCGAACGAGGTATCACAAAGGGGGTCTTCCCATTTGAAAAAAAAAGTTAGGGTCCGTAACCCCCCAAGGGGGAGCCACCCAAAATTTTGGGGGGTCAAAAAGTAGCTCCCTTTGATCTTGGAATACCCTCCAAGTTTCAAATCTCTACCTCAATTAGGTCAAAAGTTAGAGGGGGGGAGGGGACTTTTCGAACACCCTGTACGTAAATATGTAGATGAGTGTATACGTAGGGAGTAAAAAATTCCTTAAACTCGATTTTGGACAGAAAGAACTACCACTGTTTCACAAATAGAGGGACTCAGTGATGAAAAACATAAGCAACTATACCTTAATTTCAAAATTGCTACCTTTTAGACCGACCTGTCAGAACGAGCACTTCGATTTTAGACCCTTTGTTCTTTCATGTAGAGTTTAGGGTATAAGCAGTTGTGTGTCATGGATTGACCCTATGTTCAAATTGCGTATCAAATTATTTTCTACACTGATAAGATTATTTTAAGACAGTAACAGTGCAGCTCCGGTAAGAATTGGGCCCAGTACAGGATCTTTTCTTACCCTCTCATCCTTTCGTAGAAGTTCAAAACTGGCAGTTTTTGAACCAGCCTCCAAGGGAACAGGGGCTAAAGAAAAATCAATTTTTTGGCCCTTCCCTGAAAAGTTGCAGATGAAACGTAGAACCATTTTTTTTTTTTTATGAAAAAGCAAAAAAGAACATTTTATCGAGTAGGTAGAAGAAATGGCAAATCGGTGAAGTTTTTTTAGAATTTTAATTTTGACTTTTTCGATGTAAGGAGTCACACGAAATGTAATTAATAAATATGTGGAAGTGTAAGTCCTTTTCTTTTTCTTTAAAGTCGGCCAAAGCGCATATTAAGGAAATGGTTGGTGGCGAAGTTGTGAGTTTTCAAAGTTAGTCTTTGTGGCAGGATCCGAAAATGGGCCTCTGGTAAGGAAAGGGGGTGCCTCATTTCAATAACTGTTGAAAACCTTTGCTCTCCTATATGTATATGTATACTAGCGGAAAGCCCGTGGCTGAAGTCACGGATCTAGATGCTTCACCAAAAATTTAGTTACGGGGAGCATTAGGCCGATATTGTTTCGGGGATGATGCCACTATTCGACCACATGGGAGCTTATTTTGCCTGAGTGAGCGTGCCATTTCACGACGATACCGCTATTCGACCACGCGGAAGCTCCTGTTGCCTACACTGAAATTGAGGGCGAAATGAAAAGATGTTGATTTATCTTCTCCAGTTTGGTGAAATGCTATTTTTTAAAAACGTTCCAAGTACTCGTGCAATTTCACGATGAAACAGCTATTCCACTATTTCCACGTTCCTATTTTATTTCAATCTCCCTCTCACTGCTTTCTTCTTTTTACTTTTCATTTCTTCTGTCTGTTTGCTTCTCCCACTTTCATTATCCTCTTCTTCTCACTAAATTTTTTCTAGCTTATCTTCTTTCACTCTTCTTGTTCTGCACCATTCGTTGTTCTCCTTTTTCTTCATGGTCATCATCAGCATCAGCATCAGCATCATAATCATCATCCTCATCTCTCTCTTTTAGTGTTCGGACGGGAAGTAAAAAAAATAAAAACAGCTTAATGAATAACAGTTAAGAGGAGCAACTACTTTACTGACAAACGCGGTCCCGACATGACATAAAAACAAATTAGCAGACAGAGAACCTCTATTGCACGGACGATGATACCACTCTTCAACCCCGTGAGAGCTTGTGTTGCCTACACTAATCATTGAAGGCAAACTGTCATTTCACGACGACATACCGCCATTCAACCACGTAGAAACTCGTGTTGCCTACCTTGAAATTTAAGGTGAACTGAAATGGCGTTACTGTAATATTTTCCTGTTTGGTAAACACTTTTTTTTCTTTTTTTTTTTTATTGGAGAGATCGGCAATCCACTTGATAAGTGTTCAGCACAATTTATGGTGAGAGGTTAAGAGCGTGAAGGGGGTCTTGATCCGGTAGACAAAAAAATGTAACATAACCTATAACCTACCAATGTGTGATTAGATTTTTTTTATTTTAATCTCAATTTATAAAACTCGACACATTTAATTTATTTAAAATTCAATTATTTTAAAATCAAATTCTTTGTCCGGCAAGGATGAATGTTACTGAATTAGGATGAACTTAGATTAAACGGGATAAATGCAGTTTTATGCTTATCAATCCTTTTGCATCTGGAAAATGTAGAAACTTGGTATTACGGACGTTTACGGTTGGATGCGAATAAAACTCTGGGTCCTGTTGGTTTTTGGTTCGACAAAACATGCCTCTTCCGCAATGCATTTCTGAAATGTCAAATACTTTCAAAATGGCAGCATGCGAATCCACCCGTAAACATCCGTAATACCAAGTTTCCACCATTTTCCTCGCCATTTTGAACTTATTCAGAATTTCAAAAAATCTGATGACAGATTCGTCTTTTTCATGCCGAAGTGTCCCCTGATACCAAGTTTCATGCAAATTCACCGATAAGCAGCCTAATTTATTCTCTTGCCGCTCAAGGTCGCCATATTGACCGCCGTAATTTTGAAAAGGGCAAACATTTTCCGGAAAAATAATGCCAGAATCGTTTTTCTCGTTACAAAAAACCTATGAGAACCAAGTTTCATCCCAATCCATCGACAAAAACGGGGATTTAGATGTTCGATATTTTGAAATTTGACCGGCGGCCAGTTTGTCAAAAATCAACAGTTTGACTTGCGGTTTGTGCCAAAAATTTTTTTTTCAATTCTCTTTGAATTGATGTGTCACAAAGGAGATGCTGCCGTTTGAAAAAAAAAGTTGGGACCCGTAGCCCCTCTCCGGGGGGGGGGGGGGGGGGGGGAAAANGGGGGGGGGAGCAAAAAGTTTGGGGGCCCTGAAAGTAGCTTACATTGATCTTTGAACATTCCCGAAGTTTTGTTTCAAAATATTAATTAGGTAAAATTTTAGAAGGGGTGGAAGGGACTTTTGGGACGCCCTGTATACTTGAAGATAGAATATAGGTGAGTTGAAGTAGAAACAAAACGAACACATCAAACACAACAAACGCATTAAATACAACAGGCGCATCAAACACAACATATATAGCAAACTCATCAAATGCGACAAACACATCAAACTTGACAAACGCATTAAACACAACAGGCACATCAAACCCATCAAACACATCAAACACGACAAAAACATCACACACAACAAAAACATCAAACACAACAAAAACATCAAACACAACAAAAACATCAAAACACATTAAACACAACAAACACAGCAAACATATTAAACACGACGAACACTACAAACACAACAAATACATCAAACACAAC